GAGAGATGAGGAAATAGGGAAAAGGAGAGAGAGAGAAATAAAATGGGGAAGAAGACGAAGAGAGAGAGAAATAGAGAGAGAGAAGAGAGAGAGAGAGAGAGAGAGTGAGAGAAAGAACAAAGGAGAGAGAGAGAGAGTGAGAGAGATAAAATCGGGAGAGAGAGAGAGAGAGAGAGTGAGAGAAATAAAAAGAGAGAGAGAGAGAGAGAGAGAGAGAGAGAGAGAGAGAGAGAGAGAGAGAGAGAGAGAGAGAGAGAGAGAGAGAGAAGAGAGAGAGAGAGGAGAGAGAGGGGGGGGGGGGTTCTGGTTGATCACGTAGCTTTTGCTGGTGGTTGAACAATGCAATATTGAAATGTTCATTTTCATTGAGATGGGAAGAGGAAGTGTGTGAGAGAGAGAGACGGAAAATAAACGGAGATTAAAAAGTGGGAAGATGAGTAAGCGTAGATTGGGAAGGAGGATAGAAACCAAAGAGACAGACTCGGAGAAATTGAAAAAAAGGAATAAAGAGTTGTAGGATAAAAGATGGATAGCGTGGGGACACAATGAGAAGAAAGGTGGAGAGGAGAAACGAATTAGAAAGCAAGGAGAACAAAGAAAAAACGGTCATTCCCCCTTCGTTTCCCCGTGAGAGTAAAGAGGAGATAGGAGAGAGTAGAGAGGAGAGAGGAGAGGACGAGACAGTTGAGAGGAGAGAGAGAGAGAGGAGAGAACGAAAGAGGAAAAACGAAAGAGAGAAGAGAACGAGAGAGAGAGAAGACGGAGACGAGAAGACGAAGAGGAGAGCAACGAAAGAGAGGACGAGAGAGCGAACGAGAAGAGAGAGAACGAGACGAGAGGACGAGATTGGCGTTGGTTCGAGTGAAATGTCGAGGGTCGTTCGAGCTCGTCCTCCGCTCCTTTTTTTTGCGTCCGGGAGCTCTTTGGCTCGTTTTTACGCATGCGCGGAATCTCTGTCACGCACACGCGCGCACGCTCTCGGGCGGGTAAACAGGCGGGTAATCCGAACGAGCGGCCAGGTAAGGAGGCTGGGAACCAAGGAGGAACATTCACAGGCCAAAGGGGGCGGGGCGGGCGGCGATGGGCTGGCAGGCGGGGGGGGGACGAGCAGGCTGGGGGGACGAGCAGGCTGGGGGCGGCACGAGGCAGGCTGGGGGCGGCACGAGCGGCTGGGGGCGGACGAGCAGGCTGGGGGCTGGGCGGGTGGACGAGCAGGCTGGGGGGTGGACGAGCGGCACGAGCAGGCTGGGGTGGGGGCGGACGAGCAGGCTGGGGCGGACGAGCAGCTGGGGCGGTACGAGCAGGCTGGGGGCGGACGAGCAGGCTGGGGGGACGTGGTGGGGGCGGACGAGCAGGCTGGGGGCGGACGAGCAGGCTGGGGGCGGACGAGCAGGCTGGGGGCGGAGCGAGCAGGCTGGGGGGTGGACGAGCAGGCTGGGGGTGGACGAGAAGGCTGGGGGTGGACGAGCAGGCTGGGGGGTGGACGAGCAGGCACGGCTGGCGTGGACGAGCAGGCTCGAGGGCTGGTGGACGAGCAGGCTGGGGGCTGGACGAAGGCTGACGAGCAGGCTGGGTGTGTGGACGAGCAGGCTGGGGGGGACGAGCAGGCTGGGGGTGGACGAGCAGGCTGGGGGGTGGACGAGCAGGCTGGGTGACTGGGGGTGGACGACAGCTGGTAATTGGGACGAGCAAGGCTGAAATCAGGCAGGGAGGCTGGCTTGGGGCAGACAATTAGGCAGGTAGACAGGCTGACTGGCTGGGAGATTGGGAGCTGACAGGCAGGCCGAAGGTAGAGAGGCAGGTAGGCTGGAGACAGGCAGGTAGGCAAACAGGCTGAAGGCCGACAAATAGACAACACAGACAGATAGACAGACAGACAGACACAGGCAGACACGCAAACTCTATAGATTTCACATAATCAAAACAACTCGCATAAAAGTATTATTTCTTTACCCTCTTCTCCCCTCTTCTCTTACCTCCTCCTGTCTCTTTGTCTTTACTTACCTCTCCTCGTCTTTCTTTTCTCTTCTCTTCTTTCCTCTTCTCTTCTCCTTTTCTTTTCTTTTCTTTTCTTTTCTCTTCTCTTTTCTCTCCTCTCATCTTCTTTCCTCTCCTCTTCTCTTCTCATTTCAAGAAGAAGAAAAAGAAGAAGAGAAGGGTAGAAAGGAGCTGGGTGATAAAGTTGACAAAGAAATTCCGAAACATTTTCATCAAGGTTTGACGTTGCCCAGTGGTCTAATATCAAGGGGGGAGTATGCAACAGAATGAAGAAAATATGAACAAAAATACAGAGGGAGAGACAGAGAGAGACAGAGACAGACAGACAGACAGAGACAGACAGACAGACAGAGACAGACAGAGACAGACATACCAGACAGAGACAGACATACAGACAGAGACAGACATACAGACAGAGACAGACAGACAGACAAACAAACAGAGACAGACAGACAAAAACACACAACACACACACACACAACACACACACACACACACACACACACACACACACACACACACACACACACAGAGAGAGAGAGAGAGAGAGAGAGAGAGAGAGAGAGAGAGAGAGAGAGAGAGAGAGAGAGAGAGAGAAGAGAGAGAGAGAGAGAGAGAGAGAGAGAGAGAGAGAGAGAGACGTGTATTTGTGAATGTTTTAAAAATGTACTCCCTGGCTGCCTTGGGAGTTCCCACGTTATAGTGTTGCATGCGATAAGGTATTTGAGGGTGGGTGGGGGGAGGAGTGGGGATGGGGAAGGAGGAGGGTGTGAGGGAGGAGGGAGAAGTGGGAGGGGGAAGGTGTGAGGGGTACGGACCGGCAGGGTGGGGTTAGGGTGGATGGGAGGGAGGGGTGTGCCGGGGTAAGGGAGGGGATGAGGGGATGGGATGGGAAGGGGCAGATGGGGAGGGGAGGGGTCAGACGGACGTATACCTGGACGCGACGTGGGTTGCCTGAGGTGGATCGTGGGGTTTCGGGGGGATGTTGGGGAGGGAGGTAGCGAGGTTGGGGTGAAGGGAGCGGTTGGGGTTGGAGCGCAGGGATGGTGGATGGTGGGAGATGAGGATAGGTGTTTGGCTGAGGTTGGCGGCCCGAGAACGCTCCTTTGGTTGAAGGGGTTGAAGGGGTGGGGCGTGGCTCTCGCGAGTTCTGTGGGAGGTTTCTCTTGGGGTCCGAGGTGGGTTGTGGTGAACAGTGGGGTTGAAGTGGGGTTCGTTGTACTTAGAGGGGGTTGTGGGTGTTGGTTTTGTGGATGGTGTTAGGGCTGAGGTTGTATTTATTTTTCTGTTTTATCTTTTATTGGTTATTTTCTTAAGTTATATAGTTAGTTGCTTCTCCGGAGAGTTAGATGGGTGATTTATTTGTTTTTATATTTATCTTCTAGCTATATTTTGATATGTATATTTGTTTATTTAATTACTTATTTATTTTTTTTACATTTCATCTTTATTCATGAATTCTGGATGCGTAACCCGGGTGTGGCTCGCGGGGGAACGTAAACAAAACGGCGTGCGCGGCCTCAGTCCATCAGGGAGGCCGCCGGGACACGCAGGCGGAGCTGGAGGTGGGGGGGAGAGGGGGAGGTGGTGGGGGAGGGGGAGGGAGATGGTGAGGGAGATGAGAAGGGAGAGGTGGAGGTGGAGGAGAGGTGGTGGTGGAGGGAAAAGTTGTGGAGGGAAAGAGGAAAGAGGTGGTGGAGGTGGTGGTGGAGGGAGAGTGGTGGGGGAGGTGGAGGAGATGGAGGGGGAGAGGTGGTTGTGGAAAAGTGAGAAAGAGGAAGAGGTGGAGGTGGTGGGGAGAGTTAGAGGTGGAAGATTGAGGGTGTAAAGGTGGAGGAAGAGGTTGGAAATGGAAATGGAGGTGGAAGTGGAGCACAGGGTGTTCGTGGGATTGGGAGTAGAGGTGGGGTGTAAGTGGAAATGTGAAGGTGGTTAGAGGTGTAGGAAAGTGTAGAAGAAAAAAAGGGAAACATAATTGAGCCAGCCGGGGCGGGGGTGGGGGGTAGGGGCGGAGGATGTGTACCCGCAGAGGATATATACTCACCCACACAACTGTGAGGGTCAGCTTTTGTCCCTCTTTTGCTTCTCCTATTTTTCCCTTCGCCTCCACCTCTCTCTTTTCTTTCCTTTGCACTAGTTTTTTTTTTCTCTCTCCTATTTCCATCCTTTTCATCTTCCTATTCCATTCGCTTCTTTATCATTCCGCGTTACGTGTCAGTTTCCCATTCCTTAGCCATTTCCCTTGCATTCCTCTCTTCCCTCTCTTGTGTTTCCTTTTCCCTTCCTCTCCTTCGCTTTCCCTTTCCTCTTACTTCTTTTTCCTTCCCCTCCCATCCCTTCCCTCCTCCCTTCCCTTTCCTTCCGCATCCCTTTCCGGCCCTTCCCTACTCCCTGCCTTCCTCTTCCTTTCTATCCCCTTTTCCCTCCCGTCTTCTACTCCTCCTTCCCATCGTCCCGATTCCCCTCCCTCTTCCAATTCCCCATTCATACCCCTCTCCCAATTTCCCACCCCTTCCACATTCCTCTCCCTCTCCCAAGTCCCCATCTCCTTTTCTCTTCTGTCCTCCTCCCTCTCCCGATTCTCCCTGTTCCTTCCTCCTCGTCCTCATTCCCCTCCCTCTCCCCCTCTGCCTCCCCCCCCCGTGCTCCCCCGTTCCCTCTTCTCATTCCCCATCTCCCTCCCTCCCTCTCCTCTTCCCTCCCCCCCAGTCCCTCCCTTTCCCCTCCCTCCCTTTCCCCTCCCCCCTCCCCCAGTGGGGGCCAATTACCTGCTGTGGCCGCGATGATCCCTATGATTTTCCTCTCTGGCGGGACTCTTGTTTTCTCTGTGTTCTTTTGTTATTCTTTGTTATTCTTTATTATTCTTTCCTTGGTTGTGCTGTAGATTCGCTTCGACGGGGCTGTCTTGGGATTTAGAAGGGTTTCTGAGTCTCTGTCTCTGTTTGTCTGTCAGTCTTTTCATGTGTTTGTGTGTGGCTGTGTGTGTACGTCTGTCTGTCTGTATGTATGTATGTATGTATGTGTTGTGTATTTTTATATGTTTATCCATCTGTCTGTTGACCTATTCATTCATCTTTCTCTCTCTCTCTTTCTTTATCTTTCTCTTTCTCTTCTTTCCCTTTATCTTTCTCTTTCTTTTCCTCTCTTTCTCTCCTTTCCCTTTATTTTTTCTTCCATTCTCTCTTGTGTCAGTCCTCCTCCAGTGATTGACGTGAATTATTTTGTCTCTTAAATTGCCTTCTTGCGAATTGTTCGTTTAGATTAGGAAAAAAAAATGGGCGGAAGGTTATTTGAAACTCAGTGAATTTTATTACTTGCGTCCCTATCATTTGGGCTGACCAGAAAGCAGAGTAATAACATTCTCTCTCTCTCTCTCTCTCTTCTGTCTCTTCTTCTGTCTGTCTCTCTGTCTCTCTCTCTCTCTCTCTCTCTCTCTCTCTCTCTCTCTCTCTCTCTCTCTCTCTCTCTCTCTCTCTCTCTCTCTCTCTCTCTCTCTCTCTCTCTCTCTCTCTGTCTCTCTGTCTCTCTCTCTCTCTCTCTCTCTCTCTCTCTCTCTCTCTCTCTCTCTCTCTCTCTCTCTCTCTCTCTCTCTCTCTCTCTCTCTCTCTCTCTCTCTCTCTCTCTCTCTCTCTCTCTCTCTCTCTCTCTCTCTCTCTCTCTCTCTCTCTCTCTTCTCTCTCTCTCTCTCTCTCTCTCTCTCTCTCCCTCTCTCTCTCCCCCTCCCACACACAACACATACGCACACGCACGCACGCGCCTGTTGTATGCATAGTTAATTGGTGTTCAGGGAGAGGATTGCTGTCGTTGCTTTTCTGATTTGAAAAGAAAGTTTTTTTTTCTTTTCTTTTATTCCCTCTCCATCAACTTTTTTTCTTTTTCTTCTCTCTCCTCCTCCTCCTCCTCCTTCTTTTTCCTCCTCCTCCTCCTCCCTCCTCCTCCTCTCCCACTTCTAATTCCTCCTTAATATCCTTCCCCCACTACTTTCCTGTGCCCCTTCCCCCTCCCCTCCACCTCTCCCCCAATCTTGATAATGTTTTTATGGCCTATTTTATTTTTATTTACTTTATTTCCCTGCTATTTTTATTTTATTCTGCGTCGTCGCCCTTGTTATCAATTAGTGATTACTCGAAACACTAAAACGAAATTACGCTCACGTTATCAGGTTTCATTACATATAAAAAACTTTTATTTGTACTTTTCTATCTTTTTATTTTTATTTTTGTGTGGAGTTTTTAATTCTTTTGCTCAAGATTGTAGTCGTATTTTTTTTTTTTTTTTTTTTTGCCTAGAGAGCACTGAACGTTATACTTTGTTTTTAATGGTGTTGGTTTCGGTTGCTGGCGAGTCCGATTACGCGAAATGCTATGGTTGTTTTGATGGCGGTGGGTTCCGGTTGCTGGCGGGGTAGATTTGAGGTAGATTTGAGGTAGATTTGACGGACGGAGGTGCCTCTGGTTTGTTGCTTGTTTTGTCGTCCTCGCACGTCGGTTTGAGTCGGAATAGTGGCGAGTGGGGATGGTGGTCGGTGGCGTGTGTAGGGGGTGCTTGAGGTGGATGGTTTGGTGGTTGTGTGGTAATGGCGGTGGGTGGTGGGTAGGGAGGGGAAGGAAAAAGGGGAAAAAAGGGGAGGGGGTGAGGATAGGTTCTGGAGGACAGGGGGGGGTTAAGGTGGGGGAGGGGTTGCGAAAAAGGGGGAGGAGAGGAGTTAAGTAAGGCTTGAGGTGGGGGAGAGGAGGGAGGAGAGGAGGCTTAGAGAAAGGGAGAAGAATAAGAAATACATCCAATTATATCTTCTGCCATTTATTTTTGTGTTCTTTTGGAGGCCAATGTTTATTTTCCCTTTTGTCCACTTCATTTGCTGAGATTCTCTCGATTCTTGCCTTTCCTCTTCTTTTAAATATTTTCCTTTGGGTTAAGAAGCTACTCGGCTATCGCCCCCTTCACCCCCTCCCCACCACCGCCCCATTAACACCTCCCCCATCCACCTACTACCCTTCTACCCACCATCCGCCCTTCACCCCCCCCCTCGTCATCCACCCGCCACCCTTCCCCCCATTAACCCCCCCCCCTCCACCCTTCTCGTCATCCATTCATCACACTTCTCCCTATCATCCACCCACTGACTCCTCCCCCTGCCATCCCCATATCATCCGCCCACAACACTTCCACCCCCTCCTCCCCTCATCCCCTACTTCATCCACGCATTAATCCTCCCTCGTCATCTCCCTACAGCATCCACCCACCGCCCTTCCCCCACCCCCCCCCTCCCGTTACCCATCCACCACCCGAGTCTAGAACCGTAAATACATTGTGTTATATCAACTCCGCCCACGTGATCACGCAACCCCGCGTATCACTGGTAGCAATCCCCCCCTCCCGCCCACGCCCAGTTCCCTCCCCCCCCTCTCTCTCTCGACCTCCGTTACTAACGATTTACGTTTCTCTTTTCGGTCTTTTTCCTGTCCCGATCTCCGTTTCTCTCCTCTTTTCTCTCTCTCTCTT